TTATTGTTTGTTCCTGTGGCAGAGTGATGAGAGGTGATGGTTAGCCCCCTGGACTGCACTTCCAAGCAATGGTTATTTAGTCAATGTGATTTTAGTGTTGCTGGTGACTTTTTTACACTATCCACAGGACAGATGGTCATGATGTTACCCATAATGCTCCGTGCTGTAGTTCTGAGTAAGCTCCTGTAATTTACTCCAGTTGCCTAATAAAGATTATTTTTGGCTAGAATGTTGGTCTTAAGCTGTGGCTTGCAAAGAGTTTAAGCAAATCTTTGGAGCCATCTAATGGGGATATTAAAAAGGTTGATTGTATTTTGTAATCCTTTATTGACATTAATAGCAGACCTGCTGCTTTATCTACCTCAAAGAAATCAAGGTAACCAGCTGGCTACCATTTCATGTAGAAGGTTGGCATTGCTCCATCAGGGGGATAACAGATGTTTCCTGTATTTGGATGAAATAACAAGATTTTTGGGTAATCCCATATTTATTCTCCATTTCAGTTAGTTGTTAGTGATGTAAAGGAAGAGAGCACAGGAGCACTGCTGCTAACCCAGAGCTTGTTTTGAATGCCCATCTTGGTGATCCTGCCACTGAATTTACACAGTTGTGATAGTTTGCTAAATTGTGATTAATATAAAATGAGGATATCTTTGACGTGTTTACTTTACAACAGGATCTTGCTGTAGGACCCTTGGAAGTTTAGGAAGAACATAAAACTTTACAAAATAATTTTCCCATTTGGCATCTCAATAAAATATTATTACCTTGCAAAAGTACTGTGCTTTAAATTCATAAGTGAAAGTTGAAGTTTGCCTTGAGACTTGGTAGCAAGTGGAGCATTATCCTGTGTGGCCATGTTGGCTGGCAGGTAAGATAGGATGCTTTTTCCTTGCAAAGCTAAGCAAAACCTCTTCATTCTTTCCAATTCTTTTTATTCTGGGGGTTTAGTCTGACCTGGAATCCCAAAGTTCTACCCTGTGTTACAGAATAACTTATGGAGTAACTCCAGAAAGCTTTCAGCTTTCATAAGCACAAGTTGAGATGGTAGTTGACCTATTGCATTTTTCAGGTAACCCCTGTGTAATTATCTAAAGGCATCAAAAACATAATTCTTTATATTCCTATCCAGGGAGTGCTGAGACCAGGTAACCAGTACCTGTCTGCAGCATGAAAACAAACTAGAGCTTGGAAAGCCCTTGTGCTTCATCATGTTGAAATGCTCTCATTTTTGTCCTCATGGGAAGAAGCTGTTACATATGTCCAGTCTGAACCTCTCTTGTTTCAGTTTACACCTGTTTTATCTTCTGACACTAAGTCTCATGGTGTGGTGATCTTTGGAGGCCTGGGCCTTTCTCCTTGCTAAATTTCACAGGGTTTCTGTTGGCAAGTTTCTCAGCTGGCCAAGATCCATCTGAATGGCAGCCCTGCCCTCCAGCATATCGACACTACTGCTCCATTGCCTCCTCTACATAATTGATAAAGATGTAAAACAGGATCTTAAAATTCACCTTAAAATCCAGGTTGTATTAAGCAGAGTTCAGCCTTCCCTGCTGCCTCCACTATCTCCTCTTAGATGAAATGTGAGTGTCCTCTGGTACTTCCTCAAATGACCCCTTCTAGACTTGCTCCAGTATTTCAGCACTCTCTGTGCTTCTAATCATAGTAGAGTGATTTGGTTTCAAGAAGGCTTGAAGGAAACAAAAGTTCCCTTTTTATTCAAGATATGAAAATATTGCTGCAGGGTCACGTTGTTAACAGCATGCTTAGGTTTAGGAAAACTGTCATTTAGGAGAAGTGCTCAAAAGAGCTCCTCATAACATGGTTTATCTAAAATAAATACGCAAGCCCTCCCATTGGCATACACTTCTGTACAGAAGTGAGACCTGCAAGTGAGTCACAACAGTAGTTTCATTTTCAGTGCTTGATTCAGAAGTTAGCAGATGCAAAGGCAGGTTCTGGTGGTTGTTCTGAGAGCTCCTGTGGGTTGATTCAGCATCATCAGAAGTAAACACACCATGGCTTATAAAGCACATCCTGTTAAAATTCTCTCAAATGGAGAAGACATTTTTCAAAAAAAGAAAAATGCCCCAAAACCTGGTCTACTGGGAGGTGTCCCTGGAGGGGGTTGGGACTAGATGATCTTTAGGGTCCCTTCCAACCCAAACCATTCTATGCTTCTATGAAAATGACAACTGTTCTCTCTCTTAAGCCAATGTTTTTTTCTGCCATATTTGTCTCGGTTTATTACATCTATGAGGTTTTATTGCCTCGTATTCTGTGGAATCAAGTTAGCTTCAGAAGATTGATTTACCTTGAGTGCACGTTGCACATCAGAGCAAATGTTCTGGAGTGTGGTTTGTGTTGACAATCATGCAATTGTAAAGTACATTTTCCTTATAAAAACTAAATGTGGGAATGGCAGTTTCAGAAACAATTAGCAAATAACTGAGCATAACCAAATATAAGAAGCCAGCCTGAAAGCGTCTTTCTGTTCATTTGCTTGCTTCAAAATGTTCTGAATTTTTCAAGCATTAAGTAGTTATTGTAGGGTGCTTATTGTGGAACAGCTCTCTTACCTGTATTTGCCTCCATTCAAAACCTGTAGAAAACCCCTGACTCTGAAGGAGGAGTATCAGGCATGGATGTTACTGAGGCCACTTGTGTGTGGGGTGGAGGGAGGGAGAGATCTGTCCCTTGCTGTGCTGGGATCAGGAGGGATTGATAGGAAGTCTGCTGGCACAGGTAGCACCTCCAAGAGATGGTGGGACACACTGCAAAGGCACCTGCCACATGTGTAGCTGTGAGAGGAGGCAGCTGATTCCAAGAGCAGGGACTGGGCTGCTGGCCAAGTATCAGGATTGGGAAGCTGGAGGAACTGGACCTGTTGTGGGATCTCTCCTGCAGAGAGTGAATTAGCAGATTGAACTGGTGACACAGCAATGAAAACATGACCAAATGCTACTGAGACACTGAAGAGCTTTCAAGTCCAGTAGTCATCCCATGTGGCAGATACAAGGAACTTGCCCTTTAATGAAAATTAGACAATATTTTGCATTTATTTGGGGCGTTTGCTACAAGGACCTCTACAGAGGCCATTAAACTGCTGGAGTTAAAGGTTTTGTGACATGGGAGATACTTCCCCAGAAGATGTTTCAGGAAAGGCATACAAAGTTGCAGGTTTACATTCAGACTTATTTTGTTACTGTTTTTTAAGGGAGGATGGTCACAGGTTTCTTCCTGAAACCTGTGAGGTGCCAGTTTGTCCCAGATTGGTTAAGTCAAAACACTTTTAGGGGTTACACACCCTGTAACTGCTGGGACTGTCCTAAAGGTTTCCCACAATGTAGCTTGACAGAAAGTAGTATCAGAAGGCATCCAGGTACAGCCCAGGAAAGCTGATACAATACCACAGTGTGTGTTTTCAGTGGCACTTGACAGTAGGTGTGGCTGCAGCACTGGGGTCATCACAGATGTCACTGTCTCTGGGGGACAGTACCAAGCAGAGCCTTGTACAACCAGCAATAAGGCTGTTAAACTCCACACGTGTTCCTTCCTAGCATCTGTCTCCCTTGGTGTACTTGCCTAGCAGGCCATCTTTATAAAGTAATATATTTTCTTTGGATAGGAATGCAATGGGACACTGCAGGAAGCCTTCCCAGACTGATGGCACTGTGGTGCAAAGCCAGGAGAGCCTGCCCACGCACTGCTCCACCTCAGCATCACTTCATGCTGCTGCTGGTTGTGCTAGAAACTTGCTCCAGGAAAGATGCTGTAGTTTCCCTGCGCTGCCTGTATGGAAGGTTTCCATCTTCCCTGCTGTGTTTTGTTTTGGTTTTTTCCCAGTAGTGCTTCTCTTTTCTGTGGTGGCTGAAGAGTACTGGACATTCCTTCTCTGTGCAACCTGTGTCACAGGCCACAGAAACTTGCATTATTAGCCTCATCTCTTCTGTACTGCCAGGGTTATAAAACAAAGACATGTTTTTGTTGCTCTTGCCACAGTGTTTAAATTAATGAGGCTCAAGCTGAGGTATTTCACCTCCATCCGTATGCTAGTGCATAGTCTGAAATAAATAACTGCATGAAGGAGCTTGTGTTAGATGATGTATCTGTTATAATCTTCTAATGTGATAAACCTGAAGCCACAGTTTGCAGTGGTACTTGCTGCTGGATTTGAATATATGGAATAAAAGTATCTCTGATAGCAAAGTTGTTAGCATTTGTTGAATTGATGTAAAATACAATAATGTATTAAATACAGTTATGTGGAGTTTTGTGTCTGAAACAGTACACAGGACCAGTGAAAAGAGATCTGGCTCAAGTTGTGAAGATCTGCAGACAGAATATTTCACTCTCCAGTGGCTTGGATTTGGATAGAAAATTTCAGTAGGGACATTTTGTGTGTTAAATATAATTAATGATGCTGTCCCCTTTGAGGCACTTCTGTGTATGTTTATGTTGTTGTGCTAGTGCCTTCTAGTGTGTAAGGAGGATGTGGGGGAAGGATGACGCAGACACCTCTGAACTAAGGCCAGCTGAGCTTGCCATTGAGCTGTAGGAGCATGACAGTGCCAGCTAAGAGGCTCACTGATCATCTAAGTTAATCATCACAGAAGCATATTTTTATTAGTAAAATCAATACCTTCCCTATTTATAGTTCTGTCAAAGGTTGGTATTTCTAGCTTTTTTTTTCTCCTCTCAGAATGGGAGATCCTTAAATCTTTAAAACACCATAAAAGAAAAAGAGACATCTGAAGTCCTTCATGCATCTCTAATATATTACTCAATCTTGAGCCTGTTTTAACTTATGAGAAAAGAAAGGTAAAAATAACCTCTCTGAATGAATAATGTTTTGCAAAAAAAAAATAAATTCATTATCTGTTTACCTGTGATTCTGTGTTGGGTGGGTCTAATACAGAGCAGGAAGGTTGCTGAGGAGTTGTCACCTGTGAAATGTTAAAATAAAGGTAATGTGTTCATAATGTTTTCTCCCTCTGCAGACCTCAACTGCTACTGTTAATATAGTGGTGACGGATGTAAATGACAACGGGCCAGTTTTTGATATGTTTCTACCTAAAAACCTCTCTGTACAGGAAGAGGAAGCCAATGCCTTTGTTGGTCAAGTGAGGGTAAGTTATCAACTGTCCAGAGTTAAATCGTTTATTGTATTACCCAAGCTGTCCAGACTCCTGGGAAAGGCCACAAAATAATTCTGCCTTAGACAAGCTCACATTAAAATGTCTCAGGTTTAAATGCAAACTGTCTTTAGAGGCATTTATGTTAACAAGGTCATCTTTTGAGACTTGAAAATTTAAAATTAATTTTCTTCTTCTCTATGCTTAATAGTTGAAAGGGCTTTTTCATTTAAAAGTAGCACATTAAAAAACTGTTTTTGAAGGGACACCACTGTGAAAGCTTGCTTATAACAGCTTTACAGTGCTACATTATTGCCCTGTTGTTATACTCTTACTGATTTCTTTTAAAATGTTGTTTTAACACACTGAACATGTGACACATATATCTTGTTATGCATATAGTATAAGCCCATTAAGGGGAAGAACAGTTTAGCTATTGACTAAAATAATTTATTACCTGTCGTAAAAAGAGATGGCACCTGGGGTATTATTGATTTGAGTGATTTGAAGCTATGTAAATTTTAATATCATATATAGGTCTTCTGGATTACTGAGTGCAGACTCAGTCACTTGAAACATACATCACTTGTTTTGGCAAAGTCGGATTTTCCTAACAAGGAGAAACAAGGAAGAATGAGTTGTTGGTGGGATTTTTTTTTAACTAATAGCTGAATATGATGTTTCATATTTCCTTCAGTGATGGGTTAGCACAAAAACTGGATTCAACATGAGTTCTAGGGAAGAGACGAATTTGGAAGCATGTGTTTTTCAGAAATTTAGGTGAAAAATCTGCCTTTCTTTCCTGTAGCAGCCATATAAATACAAAAAAAGAGAGCTCCTTAACTGCTGTATTAGCAGTTTCTGCAGAAAGAATTGGATGTTTTGGGTACCACGGGACCCATATTGGGTAGCACATTCACCTTAATCACCATGGTTTTTTTTAAATTTGTATTATTCAGTAAAAGTGCCATCAATGCTTCTAGTCAATCAGTTTTCTTGTTAATTTTATGTTCTTTTTGAGTGCACTTCACTTGTTTTCTGGTATTTATAAATGGAAAAAAAGCTTATTTGGGATAGGTTTGCATTTGCTTCCAGTTCTGTGACTTATTCGTGAAGTTTTATTTCATTCAAGTAACACTTCAGGTTTTGTAGGGTTCTTCTGGGCAGTTTCATTTGCACTTACTCTGAAGTGGTTCTACATACACTTGTGCTCTGCTTGCTGTACAACCTGCTATCACTGAAGGTGGGTACTGCTCTGGACCTCTCCAAGCTCACGTGTATTTTTCAAGGGAAATAAATTTGATCAGTGTAGCTGAAGGTTGCAGTTTTCTGAAGCTTAAATTCAATACACTGGACTGAAACATCAGCCACTTCAAAGACTGTTTTGAACCCATGTACATAAAGGAATTAGGATCCTTGCAAATTAAATCTGTTTCCATAGATCACAAAGTTATTGCTTTGTTTTTTTTCTTGTTGTGTTCCACTTACATGGTCATTTTTCATTTTGCATCCTCAAGTGTAAGGACATGATATTTCAAATCAGTACCAAATCTCTTTAAAATCCATTTTATGTTTTGCTGGATGCCCTCAAGGTACAATAATCTTCTCTAACACTAGATTGGGTCTATTTTTAGCTCAGGAGAAACTATAAAATAGAAAAAGTTATTTCAACAGAACCTCACTTTCTTATAAATTAGCATTATTTATAAGTTGTGTTGAAATTAAAATATTTAACAAAGCCTTGTGACACCTTATTGCTACTTGTGGAATGACAGTAACTGGTTATTTATTGTCATTTTCATCACTAGTCCATATTCCCAGTCTCTGGGTGGAAGAAGCTTTCTTTTCACAAGACAAATACTGGATGTAGTTTCATATTCATAAATGCAAATAGAAAACAGTGATCTGGACATTTGGCTCTTTCTTTTTTGTGGTTGTTTTTTTCCTGGCTTGAGTGAGATGACTGCAATAGGGAGGATGAACTTTTAGATGTAGCTATGTTCTTTGAAGATACTCTTTTTTAAAAGCAGAAATAGCTTTTTTGTGTGTGTGTGGTGATGTGCTTCACAGCCCATTAGAACCACAGCAGGTATGGGAGAGGTTTCTATGGGAATGCAGTTTGTACAGAAGCTGTAATGTGGTTAAAATATAAAGGCCTATTTTTGATGAAAATAGCCTGGTAAAAAATAATGTCATTTTTATTGTGTCATATGTTGTAATTACCAAGAATTAAACCAATGACTGGTAAGCCTGCTTTTCAGAAGGTCTTCTACCATATTCATGGCCAATTTTGCAAGGGGAAAAATACAGCAAGAAGTTTTTGTCTTGGCACCCAAGAAGATCTGGGCACTTCTGCCCATTGAAGCAGAGGACCTGGTGATGAAGGATATGGAAAAGGTGCTCAAGCACTCTATGGCTCAGGATTTTATTGCTGGTAAGGTTTGATCATCAGCTGCCTGAGCCCAGTGTCAGTCTGAGGGAGGAAAGCACTCCCTGCAGTAGATGATGGAGTTATGGGTTGTACCTGTATTAAAATGCTAGTAGTAGTCTAGTTAATATGTGACCAGCTATTGAAATGGTCTTCCCATTCTTGTCTTTCTATATGGGCTTTCTCTTTCTTTCCTCTCCTGAGATGAATCCCATCCCACCCTCCTTTTGTCCCCCCTCCCCTACTACAGGCAAGGTTATAAGCTATTTGTGGTAAGAAACCACTGGGTCCAACGCACCCGTGAGTATCTCCTGCCACAGACAAGAGACTTCTGTGCTTTAGCTTGGGAAAGCTGGGCTTTCAAAGAGATTCCCATAGGGGCTTAGGTTTCCTAAGGAGGTGCAGAACAAGGACAAGGAAAGATTTTCTGTCAGAGAGGAGGGGGATTGTCAGAGGCTGACAGGCCAGTATTCCCACTGCAGCACTGCCACTCTGTGCCACTCTTTGTCTGTCAGCTGGAGGTCCTGAAAGCACAGACAGAGTGCTGCCCATGGGGATTTGAAGAGTGTGCTGAGCATTAAAAGACCAAAAGCTAGAAAGGATAAAACTGAAAGTGTAGCAGACGTATTTCAAATCCATTTTATTTTACCCAGTCTTGTCTAAATTGGAGCAGTTGGAGGTGTATTTGATTCCCTGCTGTTCTTTCATGTCTGATCATGGGGATCCCCCAGCAAGGCAGGAGGAGAATTGCTGAATGAAATACTCTACAAAGGACAACAGGAGACAAAAAGCTTCAAATGGGAAACTTGAAAATTAAATTCAGGCCCCCTATTGCCTGTT